TTTGTTTCTTCTAATCTGTTTCTGGCATAGAAGTCCCAGAACCCTGTGTTGAGAGAATGGGCTCTTAGATTTACTCTTACCAGCAAGGAAGAGGAGCCCAGTGTTAAGATATTGTCATGACAATGCTCTGACATTGATTTGGGGGACTTTGTGTTCTCTTATTTTTACTCCCTGGTTCTCTTTTGGTTTAAGGTCAAATGAAACTAACAGATGCTAAATCTTAGAATGGAGAGTAATTTGAGGAACTACTTGGATGCCAACTAAAGTCAATTCAACTCTTATCTGCAATTCTTGATGCTAGGTTTGTTTTAATATTTTGAGATGAAGACTCAATTGTTACAGAACTTCACACGTAGAACAAAAATGCAGGAGGTACTCTTATTTTGGGGGGCAGGGAAACGGGTAATACCAATTAAAAAATTAGTTTTGTTTTTAGATTGATAATTTCTGGCTGCTGCTTTAAAGGCTGATACCAGCTTCCCTGGGAAAGAATGAAAAAGCCCATTCAGACCATTAATGAAAATATACATTAGCTCTCTTTTCAGGTTCTGAACTGGAGGGGCCAGTTCCTCATTCTCTCAACAAACAGGTGGCTGAGCTGAGGACTGAAGTTACAATTACTTTTACACAGTTTTCTTATTTATTATTTTTTTTATAGCATTTTCTGAGTCCTAGGCAGCCGCACCCTTACAGGAATTCAGCATGTTTACATAGGCACTTGCATAATAGTTCTATCAGAATTTTTAGTCCTTGGGTTTCCCCTCTGTCCTTGTGCCTTCTTTCTTTTCCTTTGAGGGGTTAGGACACTGCTTTAGATTTCCTTTCCAGTAGTCCTGACACAAGGTATGGTGGCCAGAGGAGGTTATTATGTCTGATGGGACTTACAGGTCATTAAGTATTATTTATTGGTTAGTGTCTCGAATATGGGAACCAAGGCAATTGTAATTGCTGACACAACTCACCGCAGAACCAGAGAAATTTTAAATACAGCATGTCGTTTTGCAGAGAAAAGAGCGCTCAGGTTTTGGACAATTTTCTTGCTCTCCCCACCTAATCTCCAGCTAGTCTGTGACCTAGGACAAGCCACTCCCCCTCTGTCAGCCTCCAGGTCGCCCAAGTACCTTCTTCACAGGCTCTTTGCAAGGATTAAATGAGAAAATGGCTGAGTCTCCTGGGAGGCCCTCCCTAAATGATTATCCCTGAGGATATGATAGAGTCAAAAGTTACCAAGAGAATGCAGGCTAACTTCCCTTTTCCGTCTTCTAAAAGACTAAATAAATGATTATTATATAGAAAATTCACCAGTCTTTGATCTCTCAAGCTTTAAGAACCCAGCAAACACCACTGTTGGGAAGCAATCTCAGTTTACTCGAAATTAAACCATACAGGTTAATAATTCATCCATTTTTTTTTTAGACCTGGAGAGGCCAGCAAGACAGGACCGAAAGAAGCTGGTCGTGTCAGGATCTGAATAAATGGAAAGTGCAAGAGGGAAACCCCGATAGCAAGCTGAAGGTCATCTCTAATACCTGTGGGGCGATCTGCCTCTGAAGGTGACATTGTCCAGGTGGGTTCTAACGAGAGTCAGCAGAACCACAAAGCCAGCTGCCAGGTGAGGGTTTGGAAGAACAGGTTCCACATCTGTAACAATGATCCTTCCTGGGCTGAGTGCAGGCAAACTTGATGCAAGTGGAAATGAGGAACTGGCCTCTGCCCTCCTTAGAGACTTTCCTAGTTACTCATTTATAAAAAAGCCTAAAGGGCAGCAAATTCAGAATCTAACACCACTTAAGAAAAAGGGTGATTTGTTTCTAGTGAACAATGGCTGATCCAATACAGAAATGATGAAAATGAGGCTTTTTACTTCCCCTTTAGTTATTCAGTAATCACCATTGATAGTTCAGTGAGGCAGTTCTAGGTTTCTATGCTGTTTATTTTCTCAAAGATTGTGAGAATCATTCCTTTTGACTTTGCTCACATCTTAAAATATCTTGTGTGGATCTATTTAATTAGTGAGATGTTTTGATAAGCATTGAATAATAAAGAAAATGACCATTGTAACTTGGGAACAAGCTTATAGCATTAATTTCAAATAATTAAAATGCAAATAGAAGGCACTTGTATTTACCAGCATTCTCATTAGAGCAGTACCCTGAAGAAACTGTATTTGGTGTCTAGGTGGAGACGTTGCATACAGTCCCAAGAATACATGCACTATTAAAAAATATTTCTATAGACTCTTTATAAGAACAAATTAAAATGAATTCTAATTAGGCCTAATTTACTGAAGTTTTTATTGCTTAGAATCATTACATACTTGTGAAGGTTTCTTTAGATCAGTGATTCTCAAAGTGGGGTGCCTGGACCAGCAGCATCAGCATCACTTGGGAAATTATTTGAAAAGCAAATTCTTGTCCTTCTCCATATCCTGAATCTGAAAAATTTGGGAGTGGAACCAGAACTTTGTGTTTTAACAAGCCCTCCAGGTGATTCTTAAAAATGTGACAACTGCTGCCTCAGGGGAAAAATAAAAGATCTAATTTATAGATATCGAACTTGTGATAACCTTTGTATTAGTATTCAGCTCTCTCATATTAGCCTTATTAGAACATCTTTTATTTAGAACATTGAAAAATGACTTAGCCTCCTCCTTTCACCACTATTGCCACCACCACTGCCACCAAACCAAAAACACAGTATCGAGGGCATTTCTCTATTTTGCCAGCATGGAGCATAAAATAGTCAGAGCTCCTGCCAAGGCTGTCTAAAAATGAATTGTTTCACCTTAAAAAGAAAAAAAATAATAAAGTATTTAACTTTTGGCTTGTGGAATGAAGGTTGTACTTTATCTTCCAATTCCTTCATGCATGTATGATTGCAAATCTGTCTCTCCTGAAGGATAATGATAATGGGATATTTGATCTCCATCCCACAATTTCCAAATTCTGGTTGTAACTAAAATAGGAAAATTAAAAGTCTGCAGAAAGGTCACAAAAAAATTATCAGGGGAGAAAACAGTGCATCCTGTAAGGAGAAGGAGAACAAGGAGTCATTTTGCATGGGGAAGGGACACCTAGGAGGAAAGGCAATTCTTAGGATCAGCTTCTCCTTCAAGACCCTAGGGCAACCTCATTGAAAGCCAAGGTAGTCTTTTATCTCTCAGTGTGACACACGAAGGTTCTCCCCAGTACTGCAGCGGGAGCAGCTTTCCTCATGCTTTTTACCTTCTGCCTGAGTTACTCCATCAGGAGAAGTGTTGGTTGCGGGGAAAGCCCCCTGGGATGCACCATGCAGTCTACAGCCTGACAAGCTGTTTTTGTATCATGAATATTCAGATCTCAGGCTGTAGTCTGTGGAGTTCTGATTGGCCTTCCAGCTTAAAAAAAAAAAACATAAAAAAAAATTAACATTAAAAATTAAGAGATTTTACAGAAAATTTATATTACAAGCTTTTTTTCCTTTCTTTTTTCTTTTTTCTTTAAATAACTAGTCTGGCAACACTATATTCCTATTTCCATGCTTCCATATCCATATAAAAGGACACGATGTGAGAACAAGTTCTTTGTCTTAGATAGGACAAGCAGTAGTGCCCAGTTTACCACACTCCGCCACTTCCTGATGTAGGCTAATGTTGGTTGCTACTTATCATTGTCCTGTAGAGTTTTATTTCTTTTAACAGCACTGCAAAAAATGGCCCCAAACTGTAAACAACCCCAATGCCCATTTCAATAGGATGTCCGTCACCAGCAGACGAATACATTCATATATTCAACTAGGAAAATTGCTCTAGTCTCAAATACAATGTTCTGTGAAAGAAGCTAGACTGTATGATTCCATTTATGTGAATAAAAAGAATGGGCAAAGTTAATCTGTAGCGTTAGGATGATGGTTTTATCTTTGAGAGAGGCACTGACTTTGGGTCAGCGGTGTGACTTCTGGGATGCTTATGAGTTCAATTTCTTGATCTGTGTGCTGGCACCTGGGTGTGCTGTACTTATTCTATTTGTCATTCCTATAGAGGAATATATGTACTTGTTCGGTGTTGATTTACGGCCAGGTGAGAATTGGACTGGAGTCTGATTGTGTGTAGACTAATGACAAAATATCTCAAATAGAATTTGTTTTGATAGAAGAAATCAGAAAAATACAATGAAAACATCAGATTGCTTGCTCAGTGATTTGGAAGACTAAGGGGCATGGAGAAGGATCTAGAGGCACAGTTGCAGTCACAACAGTCACTTGCGCTTTGTGCCATTGCACAAATGAAGGATGGAACAGCTCCTCATCGTGTTCTATTCTCTTCTTGCTGAGACTTCTTCTCATCTTTCATGGTTATGGGGAGAATTCAGTTCCTTGTCGTTGTACGTCTGAGGCTTTTGGGTCCTAGAGATCACTTGCAGTTTCCTGCCACATGCTCCTCTCCATAGGCAGTTCACACTACACTTGCTTATTCAAAGTCTTTCTCTCCAGTCTGGTAAGACGGAGCCTCATAGATATATTGTAACATAATCCCAGAAGTGGAATTCTATCAGTTTTGCCATATTCTATAGGTCAGAAGCACATGGGTTCCACCCACGCTCAAAAGGAAGAGGTTACACAAGAGTGTGACTTGGGGGTCACCACAGTCATTTCAACAGTAATTTAGTCTTCTTTTTCTTTTTAGAATTGTTATGTGACCAGACTAAGATATGTCCCCAATCTCTTGCACCACATCTTTCTTTTACTCTTTAACGTCACATTAGCCTGAAGAAAGGTTTTAGTGTTTCTGAGGGATAGAAGCCAGTGTGGAAAAGTGGAAGTAAACCAAGCAACCTTATTACAACCCATGAAGTAGGCACAGCTAAGGTTTCACAACTACTTAAGCTGTCCCTGGCTCTGCCCCAGCCCATCTGTGTTTGCATACACCCAACAGAGACATCGTGGGGTTTATTTCTTCTGTTAATTTGAGTGTGGGCTGCTTCGTTCAAGCTTTACTTTGACGTTCGACAGAGGCTCACAGTAATGCTTCGACTTACGTGAACCAATGTGTTCGGATGTTGACTGAACCAGCAGCCAATTGCCTACCTTGGAAAGTGTGGAGATGAGATGTAGGTGTGAAATTAATTTCTAAATGTGGCCCAAGTCCTCAACTGCTGCTGATTTACCCAGCAAGTTTCATCCAGCTTGACTCAGGCAGTTTTTAGCGATGACATTTTTGAAGTGACCGAATTTGACTCCCTCGTCAGAATTCTCACTGTGAAGAATTTAATGACTGCAGTAACAACCCTGGAAATGAGTTTGAAAAGCCCAGTAGGAGGGAAAACAAGCCTGTGAATTTTATTTTTAAATGTAGTAAAGCTAGAATAGATAATTTGGCTGGAAATTATCCTGTTTCTGGTTCTTTGTGATTTAAGACCCATTGTTAGATTTCATCCTTTTCCTTATGATCTCCGTCCTCAAGTCATAATTCTAGCATAATTATGTCAAAATTATCTCCACAGTAGCCAATCGTGGTGTTACAAACAGAGAATTACGACTTTAGGTGGTGAATAAGCAGAAGCAGCAGGAGCCCTGGAAATGGAGAAGCATAAAGCTTCTGCTCTTCTGAAAATGTTCCTGAGAACAGCAAAGACAGTGGGGAGGGATGAGAGAAAACATGGTTTGTTATATAAGCCAGAATCATTTCTCAATGGAAGGAAGGTGGATTCAGTTTTCTCCAATGACACTCATGAGTCTTTCTCAAGCAAAGGGATGCTGTGAGAAGGATATTACTGTTGCTTATATATGGATGTAAAGTTTTTTTCAAAACACAATACATACTACTTCCTGTATTACCTACAGTCATTATATAAAGATGGAGTCATCTTTAAACTTTTATGACCAAAAAGCACTTTACCCGATTTTAATTTTTATATTCTTTGCATGTAGGAATATTTCTTAGATTATTGTTTAAAGGATTATCATAATCAGAAACTGATTTGTGTGTGGAATAGACTGGTGGGTGCATTTACTGCGAGATGCTCATTGTTACAAGGCTGATTATAATACATTAGAAAATTATTTAATTATTTGCAATTAATTTTTTTTTTTTTTTTTGGCAGAGATTACCATATTCTGTGGCTATACATTTTGTTTAACTCTAGGAGTGCCCTTTGTGCATGGTTAAAGACTCACCATTCTCACACGGTCAATCGAATTAACTCGGGAGAGAGTCTACATGGCCCTGTCTGAAAAAAACAATGCTTTATATTCTTATTTTCTGCCTTTTATAGATAAAGATAATTTTTTATATGTAGCATGCATTAATTTTAACATTGTACCTAACAAAGATTCTCCTGCTATCTTTCTGGACAACATGGGGAAGTGTGGGCTAAATTAGAGTTTGGGTAGGTTAATGGGGATCAATTGTAGTTTGAAAGATCTAATAACAGTAAGTATGGAGGGCAAGCTGTAAAGAAGGGCCACAAGTTTCTGCCTTTGGTCTGTGTTTATTGGCATTTTTTTTATCAGTGTTTGCATGACAGAATAGAGGTCCTATTTATCAGATTTGTGGATGCCACAGTGATAGAAGATGTGGCCGACAAAATAGAGAAAAGAACCACCATTACACAAAACTATCCTCATCACTGATTGGAATAGTGAAATAAATCCAGGAAGATAATAGATAACTGGTATACACATTAAAAGAGATTTAAATTTATTTTATTTTATTTTAATTTTAGATATTAAAAATGTTTAAAAAA